AGAACTGGAGATGTGCTAGTCCCTTAAAAGATACTTCATGAACTTTTTAAAAATAGGAAATCATGTACACATTTTTAAATGCAACACATGCAAAGTACTAATTGGGATACTAAAATTAACGTATCGTGTTTACTGTGCACTTCTTAGGGATGCAGTTCAAGTAATTTCAATAGAGGCTACCATGTAATAGCTTTGTAGGCATGGAAACACAGGATTGTTTAATGCAGCCTTCAGTAATAATGCTGAGAATCAGAATATACTAGCATTCTTTTTAGGCTGGTTTTGCTTCCTTTACTTCTTTATCTGCTTTTCTAAATACTTGAAGAGGCTAATGACAAGCTAAATAATCCAGTTTAAAAACAGGACCGGAAATAATACTGTGTATTGCATAAGACATGGTTCAAGGCAAAAGAAAGCCAAAAAGGCTTTCTTCTGAATTTCTATTTCACTTTGCTTTCCAATCACATAGCTGAAAGAAGGAGTACGTAAAAACACTGTTAAAAATGATTAAAGTATACAGAGGAAACTATAAAATTATGGCTGTAGCAACATGGACTCTTTTTATAGCATCTTAGAGTTTATTATGAGACACACAAGCAATTAAATAAGAAATTCAGCACTTCACATGGCTACTCCCAACAGCTGTTCTGAAAACATTTGCCGATGCACAGATATCCCCATCTAATCCCCTGCCTAAGCCTTGCAACCACACAGAGCTTTGTAGAGTCAGCACAAATCAATGTATCTCATTTAATTAATGCTAAAGGGGAAAATAATCTCACACTAATAAGGCAGCAGACAAGCCATCCTGGACTGGTTGACTGTGCCTGAGGTCTTAAAAATAAACTGACATGAATTAAGAAGTGCATTATGACCTATATAAAAATGTTAAATCTCTCTGTTGCATCAGAGTGCCGGCCAAGAGAAGAGTTACAAGAGAAGACGGTCATAATCCTCAATGGCCCTATTATACCGCACAATCCTGAATCAGTGGTAAAAGGGGTTCTGCCATCATTTCCTTCTGGATAACAGAAAGAACCGTGGGGATTTTTGAATAGATGCTACTGGTGCAGTGGGCTGTAAACTTCAAAATATGAACTCACAGGGAACATGACTAATTTAGTAAAAAGCCAGAATATTCTCATTACCATTCACATTATATATTTAAACTTTTCTGCGGCATTTTGCATTCACAAGTTTCTTAAGCATTTTTAGAGGTGACCTGGCATCAATTATCTTCATTTTGCTGGATGGGTAGTTGTGATTGAGATTAAATGACTTACACTGCAGTCCTCTGGCTGCCTACGCAAAATGCCTCCCACTGAGTTCAATGGGAATTACTCCCAGGTAAGTGTGTAAAGGATTGCAGCCTCAGGGAAGATCTTCTGAAAAATTCTATCAGCTCAACAGAATTAAAATTGCTCTCTTGAATCCCACCATTGCCTTCCCAAGACTTTCTAGCTATTAATATTCTTTTTTAATCACAGATTCACATTTGATTTATTTGCAAACTGAAATAACAAGTTATGCAATAAAATGCAGTTTTGAATTTGCAGTGTCCGGTGAAGCCCTTTTTATTTTCCCAGCTCATTAAAAAATAAAAGGACCCAAAGAATGTTATACAGAAGATATACTACCTCCACAATTCTTTTTAAAAGAACACCCCAAAATAAACCCCAGGTCTATATAAGCAACCACAGATGGGCAAACATTTTTAAAAATTCTGAAGACTTAAGCAAAAATTGATGAGAATTTGGAATATAAACCAGCTAGCATGATGTCTTATATACCCAGGAAGATTGCTAGATTTTAGTTCAATTGCTGCCTTTGGAAAATGAAGCAAAAATTTTGAAAAGTATTAGGAAAAGGAAACAAAGAGCATGAGAGAATACATTGCATGAAGGTAAATAGGATTTATCCTTCTCCTGGGCTGCACTTCCCCTAAAGGAGCACAGTCACAGTTTGGGAGAGCTCACAGGTCCATCTGGGAAACTGCCGGCACAAGCAGCATGCAGAGAGCGTACCAGCTTGGGTTGGACATGTCTGTGATGACTCTGCCATCTAAGCTTCTGTTTAGACTGTTGCAATGTGATGCACTTGGAGATGCCTCTGCAAAGTCACTTGTCCTGAATATGCTGGGGAGGCTACTCAGCGGGAAACAGTGACAAAGGTTCACAAATGTATCATGATTGTTAAGGGCTGCCTGCCAGTCCATTCCAATTTGAGGTGCTGGTTTTGACCTTTAAGGCCCTTTATGGCTTGAAAGAGGGTATCTAAAGGATCACTTCTTTCCAGAGTCTCTGAGGACTTCTTTTGTGAGTGCCACCTGCTGAGGGGTGCTGATGATGACTATGAGAGAGAGGGCACCTGCACAATGTCCTTTCCAAGCTCACCTAGAATCTCCCTTGGCATCATTTTGTTGCCAGGTGAAGATCTTTTTATGTTCCCCAGGTCATTTAAGCTGTCTTTACTCTCTGGGATTGCATAGATGCTGTATTTGCTTTTGTTTTTATTGCTATTGAATTGTGAATTGTTTTATATCGTGCTGCCCTAAGAACTTTGTTATAGGGTAGCCCATAAAGTGGTCACTAAGTACAGAAGCAAATAAATAATAAAAATATATATGACGGAGGCCTGTGCATGTTTTAAAAAAGAATGAGAATTCACTGTGTATAAACCCCAGATACTTTTATGTATGACAGGCCATAATATTGTAGCATAAGATACCCAAGTGGCATTGATATTCAACAGAAATAAAGTCACAAGATGTTCTGCCTTGCAACTGAAGGAAGATTGATGCCTTCAGCATTGCTCAGCTGCTTCATATGACATAGCCCAAAGAGAGGCAACAAGGAGTTCTAGTCTGTTCGGTTTATTGTAAAGTGGATCCGTGTTTTGAAACATCGCTAAGCTCTACACATAAATTTAGTTCAGACACACAGTAACATTTTAATGCATGAAGCAGCAAAAGTAGGGATTGGCAAAAGCTCGGGCTAATGTAATTGTTCAGTCTTCACCGACATAGTGCCATCCGGTCCTTGGGTCCACATTTACATTGTTATCAATTGTGCTAATGGAAATGGACACCCAACCCCTGTAAATGCTACACCGTTATCCAGGAGATCTTGCTGAATGGGATGAACTGTGCCCTAGAAGAGAGGGTCATCCTACAGATTGGGAGTGGGGTTCCTCTACAAGCAGAACATTCCTCTCATGGCAGGCAGGCATGCCCTGGATCCATGCCCTAGACATTTTAGACTATAACTCCCACCAGCCCCAGCCAGAATGAGCAACGATCAAAGGTGATGGGAGTTAAAGTCCAAGGCATCTGGAGGGCTTCTTTATTAGAAACACAGAAAGGGGAAGGCCAGTGTATGGTCGGGTTGCTGAGCATTTTTGTACATTAATGCTAGTGTCCCAAAACTTGCTGCTGCCAAAGGGAAGTCTGGATCTCTACACTGGATTAATTATGCTGCCCATTAAAGCTACATTTATTATCAAAATACATCATACCAGTTCAAGCTATCTATTTAAATCTCACCCATTCACCTCTGACCCAAAGTCTAGACTTTCTAACTTAAGAGTCACAATGACCAAACGAACAGAATTACAAAGATTAATGTCTCCTATCTTGTGTTCTGTTCTCACAAGCAGCAATTTGAACTTGTTCCAATGTAAGAGGATGTCCCTTGTGGCACTGCAAGGTAACGATCCCATTGGCCTGTTACTCATGATCTGGCTGCTTTGTATTATTGAACAGATGGATGCTTTTTCCATGGCTCTTTCATAGTTCTTCACACAAACAACCATTTTGCAAAGCTTTTGGACCCATCAGCCTCTTGCACTGTCTGATGTTTCCTGCAGACTAAGGTTTCTCAACTCATCATTTTCAAAAGTATGTTTAGAAGCACTTATTTTCAACTTTAGACTTGTCAAGGTCTTATTATAGCCCTAATGAAAGGGGGGTTTTAAACAAAAGCAGTAAAATCCACTGCTCGCCCAAACTTGTGAAAATTGTTTGGAGGCTAATAGACAATGACTTGCTATGTATAGCAGCTGTAATAGCAATCCCACTTGAATTGCAATGCATAATTCTCAAGATCTGACCCAACACACTGCAGCAGTAAAGAACAATGTATCTATGCTCCTATTTGGGAACACATTAACATGAGGAAGAGGGGTGATGGGGGTCATGCCTGACCTCCTTGTGCTCAAATGGACTATCTGCATGGAGACTATGCAAATATGCCAAACACACATAGGCTGCTGCACCCACATTCTGATAATGTATACACAAATAAACATGTATTTGGAACCGTGTATACAGTCTCCATGCAAATGGTGCATCGGAATGCATTATATGTGCAAATATGTGCAAGGCCAGCTAGCACAACCTTCTCTCTGCTTTATTCACTGGAGCAGTAGTCCAGAAATACATTTTAGTCTTACATACAGAATCTGTAAGTAGCCACTACACAAAGTAGTATCTGTCCATATCTCCTCCTTTTCTCCCAAGACATTAAGTGAAACAATCACTGAAATGTGTTTTATTTACTTAAAATATTTTATACTACCTTTTCTACAATTAGTGGAAAACCCCATGTTTCCTGAAAAACATGTACATACTTTTCTACTCTTCTGAGGAGGAGTCGGGTTTGATATAGTTTTGCTGATAGCATCCAGATTTAGTCAGACTAGATCCATTGAAATCAAAGGAGCCTTCATGAATACCTTATCACACTGATTTCAACAGGTCTGCTTTGACCAAGTCTGGTAGAATAGGCACACTCTTACACATGAACCCTCCTATAAAAAGCATTGAGATAGGTAAGGGTTCTCCTGGCTTGCAGCGAGAATTTTCTTAACATGCATTGACTCTGGACACCTTCCTACTGTTTCAAAGCATCTATCTCTAGATTTTTCCCTCCTCAAATCCTTTTAATATACTGTGCTCCCATAATATGCAAACACTGACCAAGAAGAAGAAGACTGGTACATACCATGGCTGTTGCATCGTGCTGTTTCGACGAGTCTGCTGTTTTGGTCATAGCAGGCCATGGCTTGGTAACGGTAGCCTTGCCCACATTCTTTGATGTCACCTTGTACTTTCATTCCCAGCAGTACGTCCACCTTGCCCTCTGGTAAAATACAGTCTGACCAGTTTCCCACAGGCTGGGCATTATAGTTGTCACAGGGGCAAAACTGAGTCTCCATCAGCGGATACAGCTGAGGATTTTTGCATTTCTCCCTCTTCTTGCTTTTTCCTGTAAGGGAGCAGGAAGAGTTTCTGAAAGTGCTATTTTTGTCAGCTGCAACTAAGCTAGGTAATTTGTTTCACCTAAAATTTCTGAAGAGTCCCGTAATCTCCTTAATAGTGAATAAGCATTAAACTGTCAAAGAAGTTACTTTAGACCAGGCACTAACCGCTAATGAGGAAAGCCATCCTTTCCAAGGATTCAGCTATTGCCAGGATGGCAACCAATGCAAAGCTAAGGCACAATCACCTGGAATTTATAAAAACCTTTTCATCCTCAAGTACTTACCTGTAGATTCAACTTCAGGATTCCTGTTTAGAAATACAGAGTGAGAGGCATAACAATTATCACTACTGATTTATATCCCACCTTTTTCCTCTTATTAGGAACCCAAAGTGACTCTCACAATTCTTCTCCTCCATTTTATTCTCACATTAACCCTGAGGTTGTTCTCAGAGTCTGTGACTGGCCCAAAGTCATCCGGTAAGCTTCATGGCCAAGTGTGGACTAGAACTTTACTTCTAAGTAAAAATGTTTAAAGTTCTGTTAAGTCTTTATGTGGTAGAATATAGTCACACTGCCAGTGCAATATAGGTATTAGGTATTATAGTGGGCATTTTGATGCTTCATTGTTTCATGTTTTCTGTGACAGAAGAGGGAAAATGACAGACTGATGCTGCTAAGTAAGGGGTGAGCAACTTAGAGCCCTGAATTACACATTCCATCATCCCTAGCCAGCATAGCCAATAATGAAGAATGATGGGAAATGCAGACCTCGGGTTAACTACCCATGCCTGAACTGCACTGGGTTTATTAATCTCCAATTCATTATCATTCCATTTTTAAATTACTTTTTCTGTTGCTGATAAGCTGGATTTTCTTGACTGCATTTGCCTGTTCTGACTGCAGACTATATTACTACAGTTTCTTAGTTTGTTTTGATATGAGCTTTGCTGCACCTACCCAAACCTTAAGATCAACATTTGAAGTCTTTTTGTAAGTCCATCTGCCCATTGAGGAATAGCAGGTGGCTACAAGAAAAACATCTCTTCCCATTGTTGGAATATCTTCTAAAGTTCTAATGGCTTTTTTGGCACCAGGCAAAGAATTTTTGATTGCAAACCATTTTTTGGTTTTAATATTGCTTAGCAGTACTGGGCTTTTCCCCTCTGCTCTTTGTTTTAATTGATCTGGCTCTGTGGTTTTTGTTGTTCTGTTTGATTTTATTGTTGTGTTTTTACTTGTTGCTTTTTAATGGAATACAATAATTATTCCTTTTAAGTTGTAAGACTTAAATTGCTTTCTTAAGACTTAAGACTTTCCCAGCTTCAATGTGTTGGACTATTATTCGCATTACCTACAGGCCTCATGCCTTGTGAATGGAGGGAATGATAGGAACTGTATTCAAAAATATCTAGTGGGCACCAGCTTGGGAAAAGTTGTAAACTGGCCCGAGAATGTTTGTTATAAGACAGTATATAAATAATGCAAACAGATGCACAGTCCTGATCATTTATTTAGATGTTATTTTTTGTATAGGGTTCAGTAGTAGAAGAAAAGTGGGCTAATTTTCAAAATAAATAAGAAAACAGTCCTGCTTCCAGATCTATCTTTCTGAAGGGGTTGTTCACAGAGAGCACTTTAGGCTTGGGTACTGCTGGACATCTCCTAACAGACAGCTTCCAAAGGAGGGCCCCCAAATGAAGTGATGTGGATCCAGGGGGAAGCAGAGACAACTTTGGGCTCACCTGGGCTAAAATTGCCCGGTTCCCCCAAGGAGCCTCAAAATCAGGGCTCTTATTTTATCAGCCTGCAGCTGGAGTGAGAATATTCCTTCCTATTTTAACCAACTGGAAAGTGGAAGGATGGCTGGATGGCTGATGAAGAAAAGCACATACGCCTCGTCCCACTTCAGTCCTGGCTCGCATGAGCCAGCAGGGCTTTGGATGGGCTTCATGCCACTTGACCTCACTTGGCATTTCATAACAAATATATCCTTACAGAAGAGATTATTTTAATATATTTGCTGTGAGTGATTTGTCTTCATTCTCAAGGCAAGCCTCACTTTGGATCTCTCTACTACTTACCTCTTCTTGTCTTAGATGGATACTCAAACTTTCTCTTTTTAGCTGCAATTTTGTGCCTATTTGCTTGTTTTTAAATCTCATATAAATCAGTGGAACTCACTTAAATACAGCTAAGCTAAATACAGAAGCTAAATACAGAACTGTAATCACAGTTCTTTGTTATCAATCTTGTTAGCACTGGTTTTCATTATTTTAATAGCTTTAAGTAGTCTTGGCAAAAAGCACTCTTTAAAATGTATCATTATTTGAAACTTTTATTAGCTAAATCTGAATCTGAAATCAGTAACTACATTTTCTCCATTTCAATGGCAGCATAAATGGATGCTGTAATGTTTTCCTTTGCTTAGAAATATGCAATTTTTATGAGATGTTGTACAATGTGTCTTGAAAGACTGTAGGTCATTAAAATGTTTACCAGCAAAGAAAGAGACAGCAGATGTAGTATGGGTAATTTTTTTGTCTTGATTAAACTAGGAGCTTCCCAATTGCTCATGAATAATTACTGTACCTCAAACAGGAAGAGTTCTGTTTGGGTGGAAATAAGCAATCTTCTGTGTTATGCAGGATTCTATGCAGAAATATTTCATTGGTCACATTTCAGTAATTACATGATTTGGATTATGTAGTTGCCTGGATGAATTTTAGTCCAATTGCCAGTCTTCCATCAAGATTATGCAAAGATATGTAAAAGCTGTTAATGAGATTGTTCCTGAGTTGAGGACACTCAAAAGGGTCTCCTCACAAAAGAAGAGGGCAACTGCTTGGCTCAGAGCCATTATGCAGCAGTTTTGCGCATAGGCTGTTAACATCTCAGTGACAACTTGGATTGGGCAGCTGAACAGTGCCCAAGATTGTAGCCATCCTTGTTTCTCAAGTTCTCATATCAGTATATAAAATATGTCTTACCTACTAAATGTGAACACTTAATGTGAAGCTCCACACAAATGTTCAAAGTTTAAATTAAACTACTGTCAAGAAAACTAGTTTATAACCCAACCCCACATCCAACCCTTCTGTTACTGCCACCTCACAGATCGCAAGCATTATTTCTAACTATCATATACTTGCACATTTAATTGAATCTAATCAATTTAATTAAATTTAATTTAAACATTTATATGCCATCCTATGCTGCAGATGGAACATAAGCTCTTTCTGGGGTTAGTAGTAACTAAGCAAATTTATAATGAATGATATCAGGAGACCTCAGCTCATCATAGATCATTCAGAATTATCCCAAGGAAAACTTTGACATAAAAGATTTTTTTAAAAATGTGTACATTTGGCAGAAAAAGCTGGAGACTAATTGCAAGTTTACTGATAATATTTGTCAGATGTATATCTCTTGGAAGAGTTTCTAAAGCAGGTAAATATGACTATATGACTCAAAGGCAGTACAGATTTAGAATAAACACCTATCTGTCCATCTGTCTCCAATTCTTCTAAACTTGCAATATGTAATATTGCAAATCATTCCATATGGGGCATTTAGCCAAATCTACATTTTTGGGCACTACAGGCCAACAAACAATACAAAAACCAATACTTTTCTGGCTCATTTGTTTCTAGAGACTTCACACTCTTTGCTGTTACTAAATTTGTGGTAAAAGTTCCTGCATCAAAGGACTCAATTCAAAACCCATCTATCTATGACTTCACCCCTGTGAACTCAATGGGAATTAGTCTGAGTGGACAAGATTGTAAGTGAACTGTCAATCACGTCTGGGATCTTAGTATGAGTAAAAATTTCACCACCACCACCACCATTGCTATGACCAACAATACCAATGTGGACAGTCCTCTTGGCATTGTCTGCCTCTTACCAATGAGAAAGCGCTTCCTTGTCCTGACAGCTCCACAGTCCCCAGTACAAGAAGAGAACTTGGACCAGCTTGTGAACTGACAGTCGTCTTGACAAGGGATCTGGCAGAGCTGTGTTAAGGATGGCAAAGGGCCTGCATTCTTAAGGCATTCGCTGATGTCAGTCTGTCCACCATCCTGTTTACGACACGTTATAGCTGAAAACAGAGAAGGAAAAGAAATGTTAACAATTTCTTAGGTCTTTTGTTACATGGAAAATGTAGCAGCTCACCTAGGGCCCCCACGTTCGATTAACACACTAGGCAATGCATTCACGAATAATAATATTGTTCTCCTTGGAATCTTTGGCACCACAGATTTGTTTTCAAATTTGAAAGAATGCATAATACTGCATAGCTCTCCTGTAATTTGGATCAGCAACTGACACAAACAACATGGAATAAAACTACAATGCAAGCCACTGTATGAAAGAAGGAATGAAGCAATCTATTATTATCCTCCGTTTTACTGTATAATTTAACTGCCCTGTTAAATTACTATCCTCATAAATAATGGATTTACTGGGATATGAACTGATTTCTCCCTAATTCTAAATATACTAATGTTCATGCCCATCTTAAAATAATCTGAAGAGAAAATTTCTCCTCAGAAGTCAATTTCTCCATTAGAAAGTGGGAAGAAATATATATCTGAAATACTCTGTAGCTGAACATTATATTAAACCTTCACACAGCTCAAAAATTCCTCTCTCTGACAATAATGGCATTAAGTAATTTGTTTGTATCACAAGATTCCAAAGTGAAGTTCTATCCTTAATCCTCACAGTTATCCTCAAAGCCAGAACATAAAATGCCATCTTGCTGTCCCCAAATCTAGTTAATTGGTTTGAGATTGGGTAGGGATTTTTACTGTGGAATTTTTACAGTGTAAAAATGTTTACTGTGGAATTTTTACACTGTACTCCAAAAAAGTGACATATCTGAAAGAACGAAATATATATTCCTGGACGCTCAAACGACAGCTATAAACAAACCAATATAGTAGTGCAACCAAGAAAACAATATAATAAATGTGAAACCACAAATGTGCAAGGGTTTTTAATGGCACACTAAGGACTCTTTATATAGACAAATATGAATGGAGTCATGTATCATGTTTGCTCTTTTTACATTTATTACTGATACATACAGTTTTGCCTTGAAGGCACAATGTGAAATGAGCTGGTATGAAGAGGACCAAGAGGAATTTCAAGGGCTGTAACAAAATCTCCCTTATGGTCATCATATGATCTTCATCCAAAGGTAACTCAGCTTTTAAAAAGCAATTACATTTACCATTGGGAAAGGTTTGGAATATTTGCTGCAGAGGTGCAACAAACTGCTAAAATGGTAATCTGATTACCAGAGTTAAAATTTATACCCCTCTTCTCAAAATTAAAAAGGATCAAAGCAGTTTACAACCCATGCAGTTGAAAATATGACAAAACCAAAGAGTAAAAATATGGCCAATTAAAATAAATATAGTTTAAAATCAATAGTCAGAATAAATAAGAACAGCAATTCAAATTATATTCTGTTGCTCATGACTTTAAGATTTATAGTAACATGCCTTATACCAGCTTTAGCAAGGATCCATCTAACCCAGCATTGCCTTCTCCAATTCTCAGCAGCTCTCTAGAGTACTTTTGCACCACTTCACTACCTGTTTTAACTCAAGATGCTGAAGACTGAACTTGAGACCAACTTGGTAGCTGAGCATGTGTCCAACCAGTGAGCTATACTTTCTTTCCACAAGCTATTAGCACAATGGTCTTGTGTTATTCTTAGCATTAAAGATTTAACAGAACAGCAACTGCTCCTTTCCAGTTGCAATTCCACTTACAAGATGGCAGATGCCAAGGCTTGTAACTGGGACCACTGGAATGAAAAGCCATGTGCTCTGTCAGATATGATTCCTACCCAACTTTCATGACCATGGGAGTTTACCTCACAGCAACTTGGTTGAGAATCATGGGCTTTTCAGTCCAACATATCTAGAGAATGTGGAAGGCTACAAGTTCATGTTCTCCCCTGAATTCATGCACATTTAAGATGCATCTCCTGTCAGCCAGCCATATGCTTTATTTACATGGCACAAATGGCACCCAGACTCAGAAATCAGCCTCTTATCACACTGTGTCAGGCTAATAATGAAGCACACCCCCTCACATCAAATTGATTACAGACATTAGCAGTGAGAGTAACAAATCTGATTATTCTGAATCAAAGACAAATAACTGTGAAACATTCCTATAAAGCACATGGATACAGTTGCCAGTAAAATCAAATTTAACATGGGCTCAGTTCACTTAACCATGTTTCCCCTATTTAACATTTAGGGTCTCCCTGAAGAGTGGCACAAAATAAACTGCACTTCGAATTTTGTATACGAAAGACCTTGATGTAATTAGATTTGATAGCATAACTTGAACTACACCACAAGGGGCCATAAGCTGTTACATTATTATTGTGGAGATAATTAAATACAAAGTCCACTCTATGTATGCAAATTAGTACCATTTAGGTGCCTTAAAAAACAAAGCAAAAACTTCAAACATCCAGGTCAAGCACTGCCAAATTCAGCCATCTCTGAAATAAGGGATCTCTGTAGCTACAGTGAACTCATATTATCGTATAGCTTTAAGGGTACAATCCTATGCCTGTGCAGACAGTAAACAATTCTACAAATCCCAAAACATTTGCTGTCTAAACAGGTATAAGACTTTGCTCTTAATGTTTGAAATGGGCCACATTGGACTGATTTTCTTCATACGTAGCTTCATTCATTAACTCTGGTCATTCTCACTTAAATTCAAAGGTAATACATTTATGAGTCCATTGTTTCCTTTTAATACACACACCCACTTTTAAAAGACCTTTAAGTATAACATGTACAAAAGACAGCAGCTAGCAATCAAAGTATGGCGGGGGGGGGGCTTTGTGGGTGGTGGTTGTTTGCCCAAAGATATGCCATGCTAGGTTTTTGTCTTCTGCATTTGCCAAGGGTTTTGATTGCCTAGTTTCCAAGTTTGAGTTTCACCCAGAAGAAATATTTTGGCCACATTTATGCTCTAAATGAGTATTAAGGCCAGAGAGATGTTCTGCATTTTGATACCATGCTCACAGCCACTCCATTTTAATTGCTGTAGCCACAAGGACTGTTCATCCTTATTCCTCACCACTAGCACCCTCTCCTGTCCCCAGAGAGAGATCAGGAAGGAGCCTTGAATGTCTGCACTTATTTGCATTTGCATTGCATCTTTGGGTAGGAAGTGGGTACACCTTCCTCACCGATTCTCTCTCTCTCTCTCTCTCTCTCTCTCTCTCTTCCTCTCGCAGAACATAGAAACCAAGTGAGTCAGAAGGGGTCACCTGGGCCATCTAGTCTGACCCCTGGCTCCAGCCAGCTCCGGTCATGACATGCCTACCATGTTCATGTCCAGCCTATCTTTGAACTCCCTTACTCCCGTAGAAGCCCATTCCATACCCTCGGGGTCCTAACTGTCAAAAGGTACTTCCTGGCATCTAACTTGAACCTTGCTTCCCTGAGCTTTGCTCCATTGGAATGTGGGACACACACACTCCTCCACAAACCACATCCCCTTCAGCCTGTTTCCAGAACCGTGTTTCTGTTGCAGAAATGGGTTTAGAACAGCCTCGTCCCAGCCAGCCTATCGGCATGCTAGCAGAAAACATTGCAGGTTGGAGTCCAACATAGAAGGAGAGCACCAAATTAGGGAAGGCTGGCCTGGAATCTCAGCACAGGGGCCAGGGCAGTGGAGCTGGTCAGAGAGTGTGGCAAGGGGAAACCATCAGAAAGAGAAAGGTGTATTCATCTTCCTGCCCCAAGTGTTGCCATTATACATTGTGGTTCCCGGCTCATATTTATGCAGTAAAAGCAGGAGATGGATTTTAAGACAGAAGCCCCTAAGAGACATGCCATTTTGCCCTTACATATCATGCTCCTTCAGAAATGAGATGTTTCCGAAGCAAATCACTTATTCTTAGCTCCACATGTAACGTTCTCTGAAAGAACAGGAAGTATGTGTCAAGCAGAGCTGCTGCTTTCTGCTGTTTGTTTGCACAAATATAAAAGATGCCTCTTGATATTCAGGGTGAGAGTCAGGCTGCTTGCACATTACTATGAGGATTCAGCAAAGGTGGAAGTGGAGGATCACAGTTTCATTCAGGTGAAATTGCCTTTATGTTCAAGTCCCTCTTGCAAGGTACACAAAAGGGAACAGAACCTGGAAGGGATGTTGGAGAAATCCCCCAAAGATTCAAGTGAGTTCTGATTTCTGGGGAACTGACTCACAGATTCCACAGCAAACAGACCTTTTTCAAGTTGCATAGATTCTGTGGACAGGTTTTACTTACCAGAACATTATAGAAAACTAGTCATAGGGAAAAAAAAACCTGCTTAAAATACTTAAAAGCATGCTGTACCCCCAGGAAAATGGGCATTCTTGGAAGAGTGCAAATTTCCAGAAGAGCACATAAACTCTGTAATTGTGCATCAGTTATTTGTGCATAGAAAAAAAGTGCCTGACAATCTACAAAATGCAATCAGAACAAATTTCACAGAATCCTTCCATTCCTAGACTCTGACACAGTTGCTGAGTTTTGCCCTAGAAAGGTTCTTGACCAAACTGTCAAGGCTTTTGTAGGCCAGGCATGGAAGCCCATGTCATGAAAACTTACTCTGTACAGTTGTATACTTTGTGTAAACCTTGAGTCTCAGGGCAAGATCACCAAATCTCACTTGTTTTGCCCTTCTTGAGAGTGCAAATGGCTTTTAGAGACAGAAGGTTCAGAAGAATATAACTAAGCCATTGAACAAAGGAGTATTTGTGAAGAAGTTCTCTTTTTGCTTTTCCTTCGTAATTTGCATTTCCTGATAATGCTCTTGAACCCCACCTCTCCTTGCTAAAGTGCTGAGTTTTGGCTTTGTTTTGAAATTACTGATAAGCATTGTTTTCCCATGGAATGGTGCCTGTTTTTATTCTTGTCACAAAGTATGATTGTCTGATTTTGCTGTATGGATATACAGATAAATAAACAAGAAATGAGGAGATGGAAGAGGAAAATTTTGAAAGGAAAAATGCTCTTGCTGAAAAAACTAAAAGAACATTTGCCTCAGTCTAAAGTTGTGACATGTTTATTTACACTGACATGATTTGCAATGAAACCTCAATTATACAGGACAGTTAGAATCAGAGCTGTCTTGGAGAATGAATCATTCTGCTAATTTTCTGATTCACACTGGCATCTTTGGAGCCATGGAAGCTCAGTGTGATTTTTTAAAAACTGGAAAATGCAAACATATTAGTGTTTAATTATAAAAGCAAGGCATGAGTTTGTTCTAATTACATCTATGAACTGACAAGGGTGGACATCTCAGGGCCATTTTTACTAATTCCTGGTTTCCCCCCATCTTCACTTAATTTCCAGCTAGGCAGGATAAACATCACCATGGCCAAATATGAAAGAATATCTACAAATATATATAACCAAGGTGTGCTCAGTCCACATTATCACTAATACCAATCATGGTATTATGGTGCTAACCAGGCTCAGTGTCAACCTCTGGCAAAGTGGAACAAAGGCCAGGCCTACCATGATTACCATCAGCATCTCTCATTGTGCCATCATTATGTACAGAAGTCCTCTGGACTCCAAAACCAGGCTCAGAGGCATTCTGGAAACTGGGAAATGGCTGCTGCTGCAGCAGCTTCATCTCACTGCTGTCAATGCTGGCCTGTTGCCCTCTTCACATGCCCATAGCTGTTGTGGTATAACCCAGAGGAAAGCTAGTTCAGGAGGCCCTCTTGCCCACAGACCTCTCAAACCAGATGCTAATTTAGTATTCTTGGAGAACTGCCAGTGGTGCCACCTCTCAGTTTTTAAGGGTCTTTGGACAAGGCACCCTGAATGTATTCCTTCCCTCAGTAGGTCCACCTTCACTCGCTTACTGTCACACCAGCTGCTCTTGATCCCCATCTTCTTTTTCATCATCACTACAAGTTGCTTGGTTTGAGAAAGGGAGCAAGTTGGCTGAGGCATCCACTGTTGCTCATTCTTGCCACCACTGTTCTCCTGGCCAGAATGAGGGAAGCAGGTAAACAAGCTGGATGCAGAGGGAAGAGGAGGAGCAAGTATCCTGCTCTTCTCAGGTTCCTAACAGTGCAAGTCTGCTGGGATGGGTGATCTTGGCAGGTACTCAAGACTTGAAAGTCTTGGGGTTAGTCCAGGTTGCCAGCATGTGGGAAAAGGGTGACCTGGGAAAAGGTATGTCTAGAATAATGTGAACTCCTTCAGACAGTAAAACTCCAAAACCTAACACAGACTTTCATAAAATTCATGGGAAGAATTAAAAGTACAAGGGCTATGGAAGATAACTACAAATTCTTTAAAACTGAAGTTAGCCTCACATACACATAGTATTTCAGATAACACATGTTGGGATAACATGCTTTTCCATCAAATCAAAAGGGATCAAACGTGTGTTTGCACCGTTCAGTCAGAAATTATTAGTCAATAAGAACTCTTTGTGAAGTCTTGGTTCACATATGCACCAACATGGCAACACATGAATGCATTTAGAAGCAAAGTTTTCCATCAGGTGAGACAGGGAAGGATAATGTTAGGACCATGTACATGTCAAAAAGGAAAGAGCTGCAAAAATGAGCATCAGCAGCCAGCATAATAGGTTTGATGATACACCAGTACAGGTAAAGAACTATGAATACACACTTTTTAGGTTACAGGTTTTCTGTGGCAAGGAAATTGACAGAAGAAGCAGTAGGAACACACAGGAGGGTTACAAATGGAAGATGACTTCAACTAGCCCCTCCCCAGAAAACTTTGTGAATCAGGCATGGCAACTGCACAATAACAGCCTAAGTCTCTTTGGTTGAAGGGTTAATGGCAATATGTGCCATTGCATCCTTATTCACTCTTATAACAAAAATATTTGGAAAAGACTTGTTTTACTAGCACAACCTTGCAGAAGGTGGGATATCAATGTAAAAAATAATTTTTACAAAGTGTAAAATCTACCACAACTTGGCAGGGAGGATAATCTTCATGAGATTGCAGTGGAACACAATGACTTCCTATTTTGGCAATTGCAATATGTGATAAATAGTATAAATCACAGTTACAGATGCTAACCTCTTGCTTGTAGACCAGGACCACAGGTCTCCTGAGCACCGGGGCTGTCTTGGCGAATATACCACGGTACAAGTTGACACCTGCGCCATTTGTGTGTCTTCCATCTGCAGCAGGAACACAAACACAACCCAAAGTATTTGTCAGAGCTTAACCTGAGCAAATATGCAAACAAATCAGTAGCAGGACCCATCTTTTTTCCTCCCCACCAGCCTCCATTGCATTCTTCACTTGACTCTAAAACCACTACTCTCTTAACTACAATTTAAAAGTAAATCTATCTGATATAGCCCATGCATGTTTTTCACCTTACTGTGGACTAGATTTTCAGACCTTGGGGCAACCTTTCCCAGGCTAGGACCTCCAAATGTTGGACTACATCCTCACCATCCTTGGGCAACATGTATAAAAGCCAGGAATGGTTGGAGTTGCAGACTGCCAACGTCAGGGGACCCAAGATCAATGAGAGAGGGCCCATGCCTTTCATCACTGATTACACCCCATACTGAATAAGCTACAAATACTCTATTGCCACTACTAATTCTATTGCCAATATGTGCTCCATATGCCCTACTTTGGAAGGCGCCTCCAATTGTGCTAGGCAAACTTAACTTAGAGATCATATAAATACACTAATGTATGTTTCTGTTTGAAGTTTCAAACTGCTTTAATAAAAGAGTTCTTCCACTGTGATTTTCTATAGAGGTCATTTTAATTATACTTGATTTTCTTTTTAAATTCCTCTACATATTAATTTAGAAAATGCAGATACAGCAAAAAAATAATGTCATTAAGTTAGAAAATGCAGACCCAGCAAAAAATCAATTTAATGTTAATCTGAACAATAAAATGACAGGTGGACCACACTTAAATAACCAAAATACATGCTTAGAAAATTATTTAGACACCTATTTTATTTGTTTTTATTGCTTTTTATTCATTTTTTAAATAACTACACAAAAGCCTACCCATAATTCTACCTTTTGTAGTGAGAATATAGTAATGCCATATCCACAGCATTATCACTAAAAATAAGTTTAAATAATCATCCCAAGTATCCATTTTTTAAAGATTTTCAAAGCTTCTGCCAAGCAGAACATATTTCCAGATCCACATTTAGCACAGAATATATAGAACTCTACACAGAGCAATATTTAGATAGTGAGGTTATTCTTTTCTTCCTTGTTCTGTCAGTAACTCCAATGGACCAGAGTTATTTGGGGTAAGAATACTGTGGGCAGAGCTGTTATAATTCAACAGCTTTGGCAACAAGTGTGGATGGTCAAGTGAGGGGTAACTCTATGGATGTTCTATCTTCTCTACAAAACATAAATACTACAATTCCTTGTAACATACTCATTGTGTATATGTGCTTATCAGTTCCTGTGGTAAGCAGAGTATTCTTCTGAGAATGGATAGACCCTCAACATTAGTTGACCCCACCTCCATCCTCCACCAAACCCAAATGAAACAAAATCCAGACACTCTGTCCGACAGGCTTTGAATGAACTCTAGCAAACCAAGCTGATTCTTAAGAACTAAATGTTAAACAGGAAGATAAAGGCCAGTATTGCAACTAAAGATACAATCCTATCAACCCTTCCAAGAGCACTTACCCCATCAGTAACATTAGCAATAAAGTCCTTTTTTCTGTCTATTTTGCACTACTAACACAATGACAACTGTGTTAACTTTTGCTGTGTCTGCACCTAATAAATTGAAGTCCTTTACTGTTGAAATTATCGCTGGAGTAAACTGCTCTTCCTTAAGAGGGGATGTACAAAGTCATCCTACAAAATTCCACAAGGAAACTCCATCTAGTGATTTCCCCAACTATTGGAGTAATTTATAGGGCTTGTTTAGATTTTTGCCGCATCCTCAAGGAACCATCAGTTACCTTCAGTGCAATCTCCTAATGGATTTTAAGTGGTTTGTCTCTGACAGGAGGATCAAGATACGCAACTCATTACTTTAATCTTTTGCACTGGCAAAAGATGCACAGGAAGGACAGGCATAGGAAACGATCTTTGAACTGGGGCCTCCACATGCAAAGGAAAAATCCTATCCTGAACTCCCACCTGCCTGGATTGTTTCACAGAACATCCGAATAGGACATATTTCCATTACTTGTCTAAAAATCCCTGAAGTAGGCTAAAGCAGTGTAAACAGACCATGGGTCAAAATTAGCTTTTAACCAACCATTGGACCTAAAAGCATCTGGATGGGGAACATGCATGGGCTCACCAGATCAAAAAAGACCCATAAACAAGCAGTCTGCTGGAGAGAGATGCATCATGTGTGGAAACATGCTTAATTCTTAAAGGAAGCCCTTGGTAAATAAATGTTCTTTGTCTACCATCTGTGCCTCATCAACACTATTAATTCTGTTACTACTCTCTATATTCTAAGTCCACAGATGTAAGCTCTTCTTTCAAGTGCACTCACTAATAGATACACCTGATTTTTCCATGCATTCTATTTCCTGCATTTCCAAGATCAGCTATCACAATACTAATGGCAGATTAAAAGGATGCCTGACCTACTGTCTCCATTCTATGAGTGATATTATCAGACACAGTGGGATGAATTCACTAATGCTTTGCAAATGAGGTAACCATGGCATTTGAAAGTGGTCATAGTATGTTACTGTCTGAACAAGCCATTTCTGTATTTCTAAATTAAGATGACAAATTGCCTGTGAAACTCAGGCAATATCCCATTACTGGAGAAGGAATTAATGTCAGAGCTCAGGGAACTCCTTCCTGGCTTTACTGCTTTCAGCTACTATTCCACTACAGAGCATGGAACCACCATCTCAGCCTGCCATGAGCACTGACCCAAGATGGTTAGATGATAAAGTTGTTACAGTCCTGCACGTTCTCCTTCAGGACTTTATTAGGGATGATAATGCTAATAATGCCGAACAAATATCATTTTAGCAATGCACAATGCACATCTTTACAAGGACAATCTTTACAACAGCTCAAACAAGCTAACATTATTATTCCTATACTAAATGTGGAGGATGGGACTGAGGTTGCGAGGGAAGGAACTGAGTGGGATGCTATAAATTGGTGCCCTGCAACAGCAGGGGGTTGGACCCGATGGCCTTCATGACCCTTCTGACTGTACTATTCTATGATTCTATGAACTATTATTATGGGACTTGAGGATTGCTGAATAACAGCAGCTTTAACAGCAGCTTGAACCTCAGTCATGGGCAAGCAATGGAAACTTTAGCATTAGCCATTAGCAAGCAAAGGAAACTTCAGCAAAATGGGTACACAATATTGTGTAGGTCTGGTCACCACACCTGGAAATAAAAGATACTGTAGAGTTGAAAAAGGGCAAGTAAAGCAATCAAGAGACAGGGGCAACTCCTTTATGAGGAAAGGTTACAACATCTGAGATTAGAAGGGGAAAAAAGAAGAAGGGCAGCAAAGACATGATAGAGATGGGCAACATTATGCATGTCTTGAGAAAGCAAAGAGGGAGGCATTTTTTGCCTACTTGTATTCATACTGGGACCCAGCATCAAAGCAGACTGGTGGGAGCTTCATGAAAGGAAAAAAGGGAGTATTTTTCCACACAGTGCATAATTAAACTATGGCATTCACTTCTGTAATACGCAGTAATGGACATCAGTGTGTATGGCTTCAAAAGGGGATTGGGCAAATTAATGGAAAAGAAGGCTTTTGATTGCTACTATTCCGGGTGGCTGTCTGCGGCCTCCAGCATTAGAGGCAGCAGGACTGTGCATTCATCGTAGTTGCGCAGCTGTGGGAGCAGAATGCTGGACTGGATGGGTCCTTGGTCTGGTCCAGCGTGGCTCTTCTTAGGGTCTTGTGCTGTGGTTGTGGGGTGCTCCTATTCAGCGATTCAGGTAACGAGCCATTCCACACTGCATCAAATTTTCCTGCATTTGTTTTCCTCCACAAAAAGCAGTCGGCATTGCATGCCCACTCAGCACATCCAGTTTTCACTGGACTGTGCTGGGGGAGTGGGTTTTCCCCTTAGGGCTTTTCTTCTTCAAGGATTTCATGATGTGATTGATTGATTGACTTTTCTAACTTTCCCCATATTCCTCCTACCACTGCCTGAGGCCCTAATGTACGGGTTTTCTAACAGTACGTGCATGCTGTGGATAGCTTCTTCTGCCAATGTTTGCAGATCAAGCACCTCTTAAAGGCAGAGCAAGGGCCAGATTTTTTAAAACAAAAGTTGGTTACCCTAGCATCAGTCAATGAAGATGAAGGCTGAGCTGAGACATTGATCAGGGATTCCCAGTTTTCAGGCCATGATCATGAATATAACCCTAGACCTGGGAGCAAAGTCCATTTCTGCAGTCAAAATTCATATGTTAATGGGGCTGTGGTATGATCATATTAATTTGTGAGGTGGTCACTATATGCTTCCTGATTTTTAATACTATCTGAGTGGGTTTGCCACAAACACAGTGCCACCTTGCACAGCACAGCTGGTTCATCATTCAACCCATGATGAGTTCTGGCACAAACTATCCCGGATGAGGATCAGGAGCTTCATTGTGTCATGTGAAC